TGCGAGTGATGAAGAACGTAAAAAGACCGAAACTAAGGTGAAAACAAAAACAGGAAGCAACGTCAAAATAAAAGCTGGACCGAATCATGACACATAGCCTGTTAATAGAGAGAGGTTAATCAGATCTAGTATGGATGTGTTGATTAGGGGCAAGCCGTCTTTGAGCAGCCTGGTCGGGATGGGGTCCAGGAGACATGTTGATGATTTAGATGAAGCAATTGTTGAGGTCAACTCAGAGAGATCTATAGGGGAGAAGTAGTCCAAGTATAAATGAGGTCTTACAGATGTTTCTAAAGCCATTGTAGTAGATGGCACATCTGCGAGAGCTGTGGGAGTGGTCCGACCAAAATGTGTTGATTATGTGCAGTCCGACTCTGACAACAGTAGCCTAGCATTTGGTACTGATCCACTAGGTTGTACTACAGCATAATAGCACCCATAACAGCCTTTTTGTGGCAATTTACACATGTGGTTGGAGTTCAAATAAAGTTGAAAGAAAGTTTCACCCATGAAAAATCATGTCTCTCCCATATTAGCTTCTCTCCACTGGCTCCCTGTAAAATCCAGAATAGATTTTAAAATCCTTCTAACATACAAAGCCCTTAATAACAAGGCTCCATCGTATCTTAAAGACCTCTTACAGCCTTATCATCCCAACAGAGCACTTGGCTCTCAGAGTGCAGGTCTTACTTGTGGTTCCTAGAGTCCACAGAAGTAGAATGGGAGGCAGAGCCTTTAGCTATCAAGCTCCTCTCTTGTGGAACAAGCTCCCGTAAAGGGAGTTTTTCCTTCCTGCTGTCACCAAGTGCTGCTCAAGGGGGGTTTACTGGGTTTTTCCTTTATAATAATATAAAGTGTCCCAAGACAACTTTTGTTATGATTTAGTGCTATACAAATAGCACTGAACTGAAAAAAAAAATGGAATCGTTTTATCAAATAAAAAGGGCCAGCACCCTCTAGGTCAGGGGTGCCCACACTTTTTCGCCTCGCAAGCCACTTTTCAAATGACCAAGTCAAAATGATTGACCTACACTAAAAATACTACATGCGCGTGCGCGCACACAGAATATATGTATGAATGAGTGTCATAGTTTTTATGAACAGTCTAAAAGTGCCATTCCACATTTCCCTTCTTCAGAATAGTGATGGTAGATTAGTACAGTAGATCAAGCAAACGCATTTTGAATATAATGTCACGAAAAAAAAGTCCTCCTCCCATTCTACATGGAATGTTTTCGGTACGTTTTCGGTTTCTTACTTGATTTGGCTCCCCCACTCATTTTATACCCTTTAGTAGAAATTAATTCGAAGGCTGACAAGGTAGTTCGCTCACTGGAGTTTTGCAGTAGCTCGTGCGGTTGACTGTGCATGTTTGGTGACTTGTGTGTCAGAAAAGACAAGATCTCAGACTGGCTGCCCTGCATGTCAATCAAGTAGCAAATGCCATAGGGAGGATGGATGATAGGCTATATATGAATGATTGTCACTTTTGGCTTTTCCCGTTAGGGGTCGCCACAGCGAATCGTCACACTGACCATTCGCATGTTAACTTGCACGTGTTTTACGCCGGATACATCTAATTTATTTTTGAATGGCACACGATCTACCGACACTACCATTGCGAGGTTCAAATCTTGGTGCCTCAACGTACTAGGCACCCCTGCTCTAAGTGAGCCTGGCAAAGGATGAAATCCTCCACCTTCTCCTGATGAGGCCAAATTCAATTGTTTGGGCCTAGGTCCAAAGGTTTTATGACATTTCTCTCTTCCTCCAGTGGAGTTAAAGCATTCAGGGCCCTGGTGATGTGATAGGCTGCTGGTTTAGTAAACATCACAGCATAGCACACATCACTAATCTACTATGACCTCATATTCTATCACTGTCTGCTTCCTCCTCCTCCACCTCCTTGTCTCTTCTAGAACCCTGCTTGTCAAAGTTGTTGCTTGCTTTTGTTTTGTTGCTCTTTCATTTTCTTTTTTGCTAACATTTTTTCTCACTGAAAAAACATGGCGATGCACATTAGCTGATGTTTACATTAGATACAGTATAATAACCTTAAAAAGTATGTAGTCAATAATGGTTACATTCTTTTGCATTTAAGCCCACCTGCCAAAAAAGCTTAATTTTCAAAATATGAAGTTCGTTAAAACTTTTTATATGTAGAATAATGGGAAAAGCATCAAATAACATTCAAACTGCCTCTTAATGTGCTTGTTTCTTTAACAATTTATCCATCACCGAAACAATGACCTTGACATTAACTCTGGTTACTAACTGCTAAAACCCATCTAAATAAAACAACAGTACTATTTTTTTTAAAAATCTTATTTTTTCACAATTTTGTGCATATGACTCAAGATCATTTCTGAGTCGTCTCCCAACCAGAAGGTTGAAGGTTCAAATCTTGGTGCCGGCAGTCCACGTTTCGAAGTGTCCTTGGGCAAGACACTGAACCCCAGCGTTGCCCCCGATGATTAGAGCCATCGGTTGAGGTGGCGCCGCAAATGGCCGCCATCGGTTCTGTACCGGAAACAAATTCCATGTGTGTAACATACTTGGCCAATAAAGGTGATTATCCTTATCCTAATGTTTTGTTGTGACTTTATATGAGGCCTCCCGAGTGAGCTCAGACTGTTGTTTTTTTTAAATGCCAAATATGACTGACTTGCAGTAAAAGAAAAAAATGTAAGTACAAAATGCCTGGATTTGACAAAATAATGAGCCACAAATAATGTTCTCTTTCCTGTATTTTGCTTCAAAGTTTCAAGTGGGCTTAAATGTACATTTACCCACAATGCTGTATATATTTGTTATTCCTATATTAATTAATGGTAAAATAAAATGACTACAGCCTTGAACTAAATGTAGCAGCTTAAAAGGTAAACTGGAAATACTCAAGTGCAGGTACCTCTAAACTGCACTTTTAAGTGCAGTACTTGAGTAAATGCACGTCGTTACACTGCAGTGAAGACACCATGCAAGGGGAAAGAAACCGTTAGCAGGAGCTAGCTGCGGCTACACGCGTTGTACGAACGCTTTAGCTAACGTCAGTTTAGCACTGAAGCTCTTCCAGCAGTGGAAAGGGAACAAACCTGTCTGCGACCGCTTTTAAGTCGGGGTTTGAAATCAGACGCAGTAGTTTTCGTTTGTGCTCGATCTCTTTCTCATATCCAGATATTGTTGCATCAAAATGTCCGAACAGATGTTTGCGAGCTGCTGTTTGAAAGAGTCTTTAAGATCCTGAAATCTGGACATTTTCACAAACCGAAGTCACGCCAGACGAAACGCACCGGTGGTTTTATCCTCGCTGAAACCTGCGAACATGTTCATTCAGCTCCTGTAGCGGACCAGTTTCTGACACCACACTGGCCCGGAAACAGAAACACAGCTTCCGCTTTACTCCTGGCCTTCACAATATAGTATAGAGTTTCATTGTTGGTAATTAATTTTAACATCCTCTAAGTAAAGATTAATAACTGGTTTTTAGGAAAATAATTAAAGTGTTACTGTACTTATGCTATGAAGCCCCTGGAAATTCTTACTGAGCTCTCATGTCTCCTTATTTAAAATGATCATATGAAGATGTTTGTAATTTGCTGAGTCATTTCCATTCTCTTTAGCCACGTTACTATTAGTAGGTCACCCCCTGAACTATGCCAGGTAGAGGACAATGTCTGTTACAAGCAGAACATTCTTGTCAATATGTAGGTCTGCTGTCATGTAAATGCTGCCTTTATTTTGAAATTTGTCCTGAAAAGGACCGCCTAGGTTTCCTGAGAGCAGTGATCAAATAACCAGTGGGAGCCAACAGAGAAGCCCTGGTGCCCAAATGTGGCTTCATTAGCTGACAAACCTCCACACCTCAGAGGGAGTCACTTGAAATCAACTGTCTGCTTCCTGTCTGGATTAATGGAGCACTGGTGGAAAGTGGTAGAAGCCACTGCACATAAGTGTTTTTCTGCTGCGTTATACTTCATATTCCTCCACATTTTTAAAAGCCTCGGCTACTTTACCGATTAAACAGGGGTTACTTATACTGTACATATTGGTACTGTAAAATCTTCGCAGCACACCAGAGGAAGCATATTGTCACTGCACAACATGCTCCTCTGCATATACATGCAGCCTCTCCAGGTGAAGTTGACGCCATGCTTTCACATCTGTCAGAACAGTCTGCAGAACCTCAGAGGAAAAGACAGGAGCAGAGCACAGCTACAGATTCATTGTAAAACAAAGGCACTTCATAGTAATTAATTCTAATTGATTACATGTTTGTACTTTCTTCAGAAGAGGGAACAGCTTCTGTTCTAGATGTACAAAATGAAGTAAGAAATGACCTGTTTCCCATTTTTTGTTTCCCTATTTCTAAATGGCAGTCGAGTAACAATTCATTATATGATTTTGGTTTTCTCATTTCAAAACAAAGATCCACTGGCTGCCAAGTACATGGACCTGAAAGACAAAGGAATCAGATACAGTCACCAAGTCCATTTTACAGTTATGTAAAGAAGAAAACAACACAGTTGTGTGCACAACTCCAGCCCAGTTACAGTATGAATTCAGAGGTCAAACACGAGGACATTACCACACAGTCGCTTTGTTTTAGTTGACAGTTCAAAATCGTCTTGTGGAGATTCTGTTTCGGGGATTTCCCGCAGCACACGGTTCAAACAGTCACATCATTTGGTTATTAACATTTCATCATCATTACATCCCAAAGTGCCATTACATGTACAGATGGCTGATGCATAACTACACACTTGAAATAAATACAAACTCACACATCACTCTGGGAAGTCGGGCCTCATCTGAAGCCCCTTTTACACGTGGGAGCGTTCTGCCTCGCTCTTCTGTGTAAAAGGCACAGTCCTGGCACGGGAAGTTGAAGCTGACCCTTTGAAATGCTACAGTGAGAGGTAGTATTTTGGCTGAGGAAACCTCACCCCACTCCCTGTATAAACAGGATGAGGAGGAATGGGGGGTTGGAGGTCTGTGTGTGAGAGAGAGCGCTAGAGAGTGAACAAGGAGAGAGAGCGGCGCCAGTGAAAACACCACCAATCAGAGAACTACAACTTTATTTTGTGGTTGTTTCAGTGGTTATTTTCTACAGCACGGATAAACAGCCACACCTCTGCATGGCCCTGGACACAGGATAGTGTGTGAACGCAGCCAAAGCACACACACCTCTGTCTGTTGTGAGGTGACGTGCACTTTGTGGGTGTAGCCCTGAAAAGACACACACCTGGAACTGGATGCATGTAGTTTCCATTTAGAAGCCTATCAAACAGAATCAGATAACAGCCTGTTTGTTTTGTTTTCAGATTGGCTCTGAAGCACACGGACCGTCAGACGTCACAGGAAGCACGGCTCCTCTGGCGGCAGTAGGCTACCAAGAGTTCAGCAGCTGTGTGAAATGAACTGCCTCTGCCAAAGGTGGGACAGTCGAGTGTCTGTTGTCAGTATGTGACATGCACAGCCAGGCAGACTGTGTGCATACAGAGAACCTTGGCCCTCTGCTCGACCTTTAACTGCAGAGTCGGACCCTTCACTCAAGATATGTGTAAATATAAATGCGTGAGCTGAGGTTGTCTGACAACAGTGTCCCAGGATTAAACACAAGTATGATTTTTGACAAGTAACTTCTTATTGAACCCTTTCCCACACACACTGCACTTGTACAGTTTTTCACCCGTGTGAATTGTCATGTGCTCCGTCAGGTGTACGTTTTGTTTAAAGCTCTTACCACACACTAAGCAGCCGAACGGCTTCTCTCCTGTGTGGATCCTCATGTGCGTCTTCAGATTTCCCTTAAGGCTGAACTTTTTACCACACTCAGTGCAGCTGAAGGACTCCTTGGGAGTAGCCTTTTTCTCAGCGTGGCTCTGGAGATGCGAAGACTCCCCCACACACTTGTGGGTTTTGAGTTGTGTATACCAGGTGAATCTTTTATCACAAACCCTGCAGCAGAATCGCTTCTCCTCTGTGTGCACTGACATGTGCAGTGTCATACGTCGTTTATGTGCAAATCTTTTATCACAAAATGGACAGCTGAACGGTTTCTCTCCCGTGTGAATCCTCATGTGCAGCTGCATGGTTCCTTTCTGGCTGAAACCTTTTCCACAGAATGAGCATTCAAATGGTTTCTCTCCTGTGTGAATTCTCATGTGTGCCAAAATGTTGCCACTGCAGCTGAAACGCTTCTGACAAACTGAACAGCTAAAAGGTTTCTCTCCGGTGTGTGTTCTCATGTGGGTCATCAGATGATCCTTGCGGCAGAATGTTTTCCCACACTCAGAGCAGCTATAGGACTCTTTATCATAACTACATCCTATGTCACTCACTGTGACAACATCATGTTCTGCAGTGTTTAAATCCAACTGTGGTTCCCTGGCCTCCTTCCAACCATCAGTACTGGCTTTGGTCTCTGGTTCTTGGGGTTTATCATCAGTGCCTGGTGGTAAACCTCTACCTGAACTTAAACTCTTTGCTGGTCCTGATCTGGTGCGTTTGCTGCTGCTGGCTGTGTCACTATCCCTACGGCTGGTTGTCTTCTTTCCTGTGTGGATTCTCATGTGTCGGCTCACATCTCCACTGTATCTAAACTGTTTTTTACAGAGAGAGCAGCTGAATGGTTTTTCTCCTGTATGAAGTCGCATGTGACTAACTGAGTTTCCCTTTTGAGAAAACCTTTTACCACAGAAGGAGCAACTAAACGGCTTCTCTCCTGTGTGAATTCTCATATGTGCACTCAGGTGCGGCTTGCGGCCAAATCTCTGACCACACTCAGGGCAGCTAAATGATCTCTCAACAGTGCTACAGGTAAAATCAGCACCATGAACTTCACTAGGTTTCAGAGAATTTAAACCTGATTGAGGTTCCCTGGTCTCCTCCCAGTCACCGTCGCTGACATCAGTCTCTGAAGACTCTGAAGCCTTCAAATCAGGCTCTACGAATCTATGCGGACCTGGGTTCCTGGCTGGTTCTGGTCCTCCACAGTCCTCTCCTCCCTCAGAGTCTCTGTTCCCCTCAGCATGGCTCTGATGAAGCCATGAGGACTGAGGTTCCTCTTCATCATCTTCACTCTTCACAGGGATAGGAGTGAATGGGAACCTGGTGACATCAGCCTCCTCCAGCCCCTGAAACTGCTCTCCTTCCTGACAGGTCCACGGTTTTCCTGTTCCTCCTTAATGTGTGGAAGCTCTGCCAGGTCCTGGTCCAGGCTGGGGCCCCAGTCCTGGTGATCTTCTTCACCGATAATCACCTTTCGGACATCTGATGGCAACCCTGAAACACAAACACTCAGCTGTTACACTGGACTGGAGTTCTCTGTGACACACTTGGTGGGGCTGAGCTCTGCCAGAATAAAGAGAAGAGTGTTAAACCTCAGTTACACGTGTTTTCATGAAGCTAACAGCATTTTTGTTGACTTAACACAGGACTTTGATTTGTGTTGTACTGATGTAGCGCCTAAATCTAACTTCACATACTGAGATTTATTTTGTCATTAGTGCTGCACTGTTGTTTTATTTTGTGTTTTGTTGCCATGATAAATTTTAAGATATTCTCACTGGGCTTGCCTTGTAAATAAAAACATATTTAAATACAACTGTTTTTTTAAATGCTAATTATGAGTAATGTAATTTACAGTAGGGTTGGACCTGAATATCCGACTATATGGATATTTGTTCCTTGGGTAGGTAACTGGTTTTCAGTTTTACTGTTTGTTCAGGTAGCAGCAGTAGTATCAGCTTCTGCTGACGGTCAGTGTTTCTGGTCAAATTCATAACTTGCAGGGTTGTAACTTAAGTATTAATGTAATTAGAAGAAACTAGAATCTCTATTAGGTTTTATCTTTTTTTCATGAAACAGTGGAAGTTAGTTTTGATGCTGAGTGAAACTGATGGTTTTAACAAGTCTTCAGTCAGTAAGCAAACTAGTGAAAATAATCAGTGAGGGTTTGTAAATTATTCTAATGTGTCTGTTCTTTCAGAACATAATGAACATAAAAAGACTCCTAGTCACAGGTGTAGTGCTGCCAAGGTGCACCGGAATACTCCACCATGTTTTTCTCCGAGAGAAGAATAATATTTTCATTCATAACGTTACATTTTTGTGAGCGCTTGAAAACCGCAAAGTAAAGTTCATGCCCTGCAAGAGAACCAGTAAAAATATGGAACGGTCTCAGCTGTGACACTAAAATTTAAGGGTCGGTGACTGATTCACAACATCGACTCAAGCTGTGGCTCTGATGCAGAACTGGCCCCCGACAGTGTTTGTGTTTTGTCCGATCGCATAGTGCAGACGGTCACAGTGACACATTTTAGTGTTGAATACAGACCCCGTTTACAAAAGACAAGAGACAGAACGAAGCTCATTTCATCCAGACTGACAAACTAGAGCGCAATCTCCAGGAGGGGCCCTGGGGACAACCACCAGATGTAATGATAATAAGTATCACATTTAACTTAATGTAAACAGACCGTTTTATCCGTGAGTGACCCGTTGTAGGTCTACATGACACATCAGGACACAGGATGGCCCAACGCTGGCACATGCTGACCAGTCGCGGCCCCGCGCACAGCTGATGTTTGACATGTGAACCAACATGAAGCAGGAGCAGCTCAGGGAGCAGTTGGTGCGTTTTGGAGTGGAGGACATCTAATTCTATAGCTTTAGCTGGCATTTGATGACACATGTGGGTCTGGGAGACAAATCTCCGTTTTTCATATGTTGGGTGGGACCTGTCTCCCGTGGACATTACGCTCTAGTAATAGGATTATCTATGGCTGTAACATTCAGCTCGTGCAAACGGCTGCAAGTTCGCTGTTATTCTGCCGCACCAGAGTAAAATGATCACGTGACCATGTGGGCAGTTACACTTCACTACTCTAATGTAAGTAAACTTGTCACTCTAGGAAAAGTGTTTACACGGCCCTCGAAACGAGCCGCCACTTAACCGGGCGCATGCAGGCGCGCGCGTCACATGCGCGCTCCTGTACCTCAACAGATAACATTAGCACTAACGTTACACCTCAGCTCCTAGTGTTTAGGAGACAGTAGGAACCCTTTTACAAAACATTTTCTCCGCGGGATGTTAGCTAACGTTAGCTTAGCAACACCAGCAGAGCAGTAACCATGTTTCCAGCAGCAGAAATTAAACAAACCTTCTGCTCTCAGCTTCAGTTCGCGTTTCAACGCCACGTCCCGCAGTCTGCGATGTGGATCCATCCGGACATTGCTCAGGAAACCTATTAACGAACGCCTATTTCTTTTATTGCATTTATCTATGGGCTTTAATGCGCTCAGTGCTCCCGAAGTGAAGGTAGAAAAGTAGGAGCTCCCACTTCCGGGGATCGTTTCAAAATAAAACTCTCTGAGGCTGTTCCATGTGCTGGGTTGGCGTTTCCTAAGGTCACTTTTGCTCGCCCCGTTATCAGACATCAGTTGTTGACTGGACACTTTAGAGGAAACGACGTTTCATATCTCTAAAAACTCTTTGCATCTTAGGCCCTCCCATGTGAGGGAAACATGGAGAAATTTTAAGGTGATGGGAACCACCCTGTGGGGCTGGCTGAAAGGAAGTGCCACCTGACAGGACGAATGGAGGCCCGTTACCTGTGAAAACAAAGCTCTTTACACAAAACCATGCAAGCAGATCATCTTTATTTTTACTGTGTATCATTACATGTTATGACTAGTGCTGAGCTCTTTAGACTGTTTTCTGACTTTTATATTTATACACACATATATAACTGCAAGAATTACAATGCTGCTGTGAGTCACTCCCAAAGCCATTCCACCTCTAGCAGTCACTCCCAGGAGTTTCATACATGACCTGACAAAGTGTTTTGCAAGACAGAGGAGTCCTGCAGCTGCTGATCCACATTCTCCACACAACACACCATTTCATCATCACATGATTCCTCTGAAGGCCATGAACAGGCATGTCCCAGCTCAGGCCAAGGTGAAGTCAAACTCACCTTGGACACTATTCTTCCAGAAGACAAACTGCTCTGCACACACTGTTCAGGGTTTGTGCTGCTCAAGCTGCTCACCCTAGTAAATCTGTTGCACATGCTCAGATTTCAGCAGTTTGGCACTGGAGATGAATGTTATCATCAAACTCTGCCTCAAATCCAAGACCACACACATCAGGGCCCATATTTATCAAGCCTCTAAGAATCAGTCCTAGGAATCGCACTAAATGCCAAATTAGGACAAAAAACCTGTGTGTATAGACAAGACGCTGGTAACAACAAATAACAAGTTTATTATACGCTGTAGTACTGTGCTTTCTATCAGTTCTTCTTCAGTAATACACTAAGTTTATTAGAAAGTGATTACCCAGTGTGAAAATATCTTCAGCAGCCCTATTTTTCCTAATTCTCTACAATAAAGCTGTGTATTCAGGGGGGACATAATTTAAAAAAAAAAAAAAAAAAGCTTCAGCCTGCTTTTACTGTCATTTGAGTCATGTGCGGGTCCATTTGGCTGCTAAATCCAATGAATCGAGGGTCAACCACTGGAGTGTTAATACTGTGGTAATGCATTGGATCCACAGAAGTGCCTTGTTGGTCCTCAGGGTGATGTGTGCCATCAGTGACTCCAACATGTCCAAGGAAACCAGCAATCATAGCTGCTTTTTCACCGTTTAACAGTGAGTGGTGTGCAAATGAACGAAGCGGTGCATCATCAGTGATGGTGTCAGAGTGTTTGAGGTCTCATTTATAATGGCCAATGTCAGCTTTGACAGAATCAAATAATCACTGCTGCTGCACCTGTTTTGTTAAAAAGTGTAGTCTAAAGAGGCAGTGGCTGCCATTTCAGTGAGAGCAGCACGTGTTCTTCCTTTAGTTGGAGCAGCTGCATCCTGCACAAGCTCCGTCTCAAAAACTGCTCCATTTATGGCCTAATTGCATCTTTTAACAAGTTCATTAAGTTAAGTAAAACATGTCCTCCCGTAGAGTCTGCGTGCTCATCTCTATCAGAGCGCAACCTCCTGGCTGCGTCACTCTGAGAACTTTTGGCCAGTTAGGAGTGGTTTCTCACTTTGAGATGCTTCATACAGTGGGTATGGAAAGTATTCAGACCCCCTTAAATTTTTCACTCTTTGTTATATTGCAGCCATATGCTAAAATCATTTAAGTTCATTTTTTTCCTCATTAATGTACACACAGCACCCCATATTGACAGAAAAACACAGAATTTTTGACATTTTTGTAGATGTATTAAAAAAGAAAAACTGAAATATCACATGGTCATAAGTATTCAGACCCTTTGCTGTGACACTCATATATTTAACTTAGGTGCTGTCCATTTCTTCTGATCATCCCTGAGATGGTTCTACACCTTCATTTGAGTCCAACTGTGTTTGATTATACTGATTGGATGTGATTAGGAAAGCCACACACCTGTCTATATAAGACCCTACAGCTCACAGTGCA